GTATTTCAGATGTTAAAAAAGAAGGATGGGAAGAGACTCTTCATGAATGCAGCAAATTTTGTGGCATGTCATAATTACTCAAAGGTAGTTGGAAATATATTTTTAGACAGTTTGGAAAAACTGATGGAAGATTTGAGCAGACAATTGGATAATTTATTTTTTGAATCCTTATCAACAATTTTCTTTAATAAATCAGGAAATGGAAAATGACTTTGCAGTGTGAAGATATGTTGAGCAGGGTACTGATGGCTTACACAAGTAATCCTAACTAATCAGGAAACTTGTATCTCTAGCCTGCAAAGAGCAGGTGAATGTGTGACTCCATTAGTACAGTCTTCAAGGAAATTGCCAAGGAAGTGCAAGAGGCCATGAGTTTGTGCCCCTGTATTGGCATTCATGTGTATACAGACACACACACACACACACACACACACACACACACACACACACACGAAAGATTTTATGTTGAATGAAGTAAATCAGACTATGAACGAGAAAAGGTGAATGTGTCCTCTCATATGTGAAAATTAGATCTAAAATATGAATATGTATTATGAAACAAATATGGCACACACACATAGACATTTACATATATACATGATCAATCTGACTAAAGTATGGTATACAGAGGGATGGAACTCCATAGTGTGTAACTTTTCTTATATACTGACAGTGTAAAAAATGAACACCAGGCATATCTTGGAGGAGTGGAATAGGAGTTAAGGGATAAATTCAAAATAATAAGGACTGAATGAATGGGGAAAATCAACATAATAGTCAATGGGAAAGTGTGAAAATGGAATTAGACAAGTTGTGGAGAGACAGGTTGATATAGAGGGGAAGAGTTGATGGAAATAGTGACAAATATCAAGAGACAATTTGCAAGACTATTGATACGTTCCACAACTATTCAAAAGCAATTAAATTATTTTTTTCAAAAACCCAAAAGCTACCTTCCACCTACTTCAACTGGTTCTTAACAGATGTCAAGACAGAGATTGTGATGGATGGCAATCTTCTCATTCATGGAGTGTCCAATTTTTTCCCTTTAGTTTACCTTTGGGCCTTTTGATCATGCCCTGAGTGACCATAAGAAGTTTCCTGCTCTCTATCAGATGGCCCCAAAAGACACATCAATAGCCACTGCCATGGTCTCCTTACTGCTCCACTTCAGCTGGAGTTGGGTGGGACTGTTGACCTCACAAGATGAGAATGGTTCATGTTTTCTGGCTGATTTGAAAGAAGAGATGGCCAAGAACAGAGTTTGTGTAGCTTATCAGCTAGTGATGTCAACCCACGATGTGGCACATGTATTCAAACTCACAGCAGTTCATAATGAGATAAATCTATCTTCAGCAAGTGTCTTCATCATATATGGTGATAATGATTCACTGCTAGGTTTAATGGTATTGATTGAGCAAATTGCTATACATGGCAAAGTTTGTATCATGAACTCACAGTGGGATTTCACCCTGAAAAGGAGATATTTCATGCTAGGATCATTTCATGTACCTCTTATTTTTACACACCATCATGTAGAAGTTGCTGGATTCACAGATTTTGTGAAGGCAGTTAACCCTTCCAAATATCCAGAAGACATTTTTCTTGCAAGGTTGTGGGTTCTCTCTTTTAATTGCTCTGACTCAGAGTCTGACTGTGTAACATGGGACAATTGTCCTCATGACGCCTCTTTGGACTGGTTACCTGGGCATATTTTTGAAATGACTATGTCTGGAGATAGTTACAATATATACAATGCTGTGTATGCTGTGGCTCAGGCTCTCCATGAGATGCTTCTTCATCAAACAGAAGTTCAAACTATGGGAAATAGAAAAGGAGCACTGCCTTCCTCTGCTCAGGTAAGTTCTTTTATGTTGGAGTACACACACCATGAGCACTTTCTATTCTGGTTTCTTACTGTATGAAATTAAATATTTCTGTATATATGCATGTGTTTCTGTGTATATATTATGTGTTTACATAGAGACGTCTATATATATATGTTTGTATTCCTATCTCATAAATATCATGGTTGCTGATATTAATGAGTACATATATGTCAGTATTTGAAGTAATTGTCTCAAATATTAAGCTTTTATGTTTGCATTATCAGAAATTACTGGAAGTACAAAATTGAACAAATGTAGTTTCACATTTAAAACTTTAAATATTTCATGTGCTTTAAAATCCTATGCAATTCTTTATGTTTCAATGTCTTTGACATATTCTAGACATGTGGATATGTTCTTAAGAAAACAACAGGCCAGTAACAAGGATAAAATATATTCCATCTTCCTATAAGTTCATTTTAGCACAAGGGATTGAACACAGTGTCTGTGTCCAAGGCTAATGCACTGACTGCTTCCTACTTTTTCTGAGTAGTATATTGGAGACAAAGTTCTCACTGACATTTCTGCCCAGGCTTCCTACGAATCATGATTTTTTACCTGAGTCTCCTGATTAACTGGGATTACATCCTTGATCCACCAGCACGCTGCTTAGAAATTCAATAGTTATCAATAATGCCAACTTGTTCATACCTAGTTTTTTGAAAACTGTAAATTCAGCTTTTACCTATGAGTTTTCTCAGACATGGCAGAGGATGATTTGCTGAAAAGAATTATCCATGTTTTTCATAAGTGACTGAGTTTTATTAAACTTTTGGTATTAAACATTTAGCAAGCTCAAACTGTAGACATTCACAAAAGAGTGAGTGATTCTGGCAGACTGTAGCAAAATGATTTCTCTGGAAAAAACTCATCCTATTTTTATCTGCATGATCAGGAAAGATTATTTTTCATATTGATTATTTTGATTCCTCTAAAGATTTTCTTCTGGGATATTTCACTAGGTGTATCCACTATTCTTAAATTCAGAATCAGGGGTAAAAGGCAATCAGGAGCTTTTATTTTTTATTTTTAATGTTTTTTATTGTGAGAATATTGTACAGAGGAGGGCTTACAATTAGATGAGCAAAGTAATGAGTACATTTCTTTTTTTTTTTTTTGTTGGTCGTGGGGCTTGAACTCTGGGCCTGAGTGCTGTCCCTCATCTCTTCAGTTCAAGGGGAGCGCCCTACCACTTGAGCTACAGCGCCACTTCTGGTTTTCTGGTGGTTTATTGGAGATAGGAGTCTCATGGTCTCTCCTGTCCGGGCTGGCTTTGAACCTCGATCCTCAGATCTCAGCCTCCTAAGTAGCTAGGATTACAGGCTTGAGCCACCAGCGCCCGGCTTGAGTACATTTCTTAACAAGCATTGTTGTCTCCTCCTTTGTTTTATTTCAAGTTTTTTTTCTTAATACTGGGATGTACTTGACCATAAGATGATGTCTCCTTTTAGCTTCATACTTTTCTGAAGACCATCCAGTTTTACAATCCTACTGGAGATCAAGTGATTTGGAACAAGAAAAGGAAATTGGAGGCAGAGTATGACATTCTGAACATTTGGAATTTTCCAGAGGGTCTTGAACTTGAGGTGAAAGTAGGAATGTTTTCTCCATATGCTTCACATGACAATCAATTGTCTTTATCTGAAGATATGGTAGAGTGGTCCATTGAAACTACAGAGGTGAGTTGGATCTAATAATAGTGATTTTAAGAATACACGAATCAGCAAACGTCACACTTTAAATTAGTCCTTGGCTGAGTTCCAGCAACTTTCTCCTAGAATCATAGCAACCAATAGAGCTGAGATATGAATATCATAGTTTAGAGTCAGCTCTAACTCTGTGAGACTCTTCTCTCCAATTTACTTCTAAAAATCTGGAAGTAGATCTGTGACTAAGGAAGTAGGGTGCTATCCTTGAGCCAAAATAGCCAAGTCCAGTGCTCATGCCTTGAGTTCAAGCACCAGGATCAGAACAAAAAGAGTTAAATATGTTTCTACATGTTGATTTTGAATATTGTCATAAGATGTAATTACCTTTTTCTCAGTGGGATTCTAACACTGTGATAAAATACCTGAGGAGTTGCTCATCAGATTGAAAGGTCTCTTTTACCCCCTTCTGTGGAGATTCATTCAATGGTTAATTAACCTTTTACTTAACCATCTTTGGTTAGAGGAATCATTGAAGGCACTTGTGACAATAATCTTGTTATGGCCACTAGAAAATAAAATGAAAGAAGCAATGGTCCTGGGGTTCACATAACCCTCTAAAAGGGGTGTCTTCTCTTTGCGCTTTCCCATGTCACAGATGAAAAGGAGACAACATACAATGACATGAATTCAAGGAAATACCATAGGTTTTTATACTAGAAATTACTTTCTCACTACTATTTTCCACCTTTTAAAGATCCCATACGATTCATTAATTCAACAGGCTAGCTAGCAATCAAGGTTGTAGCACATAGCATTTGGGAACCATGAAATATGGAAGCTATAACAGAATTCAATAAATCAACTGCACTTACCTGTTTAAAATTCCCATTCTCTAACAAATAGCTTTTTGCAGTGTTCAATATGAGTCTGAACAGTCACCAACACATCTCTGTCTTTCCTCAGACTCCTTACTCTGTCTGCAGTGAGAGTTGTGGTCCTGGATTCAGGAAATCTCCTCAGGAAGAGAAAGCTGCCTGTTGCTTTGATTGTACACCTTGCCAAGAAAATGAGATTACTAATGGGACAGGTGAATTTGTGACTTATAAAAAATTTTTTTCTCTGTTCTTACTTTTCCTCAATCCAAATAAGTCAAAGCAAAAATTTTGTATTACAATTACACAGCCCATTCTCCTCTCTATTAATAACTAAATTCAAATAAATGGTGGTATTGCTAATGGCAATACGATAGAACATGACTTTGAATTATATATTTAGTACAATTTTGCAGTTTAATGCAGGAAAATTTATCTCCAGGAATCATTCTTATCACTAATCATTAGGAAAAATACAAACTCTAACATGAAATTAAGCATAAGTCTTAGAAGAAGAGTGTTCATTTTAAAAGTTACATTTCACCCACACAGAAAAAATGGATCTCACATATATTTATTTCTTTTCTTTTTTATGTAGTATGGTTGATATTGAGCCTGCAGAGAGCAAGCTGGCCTAGGTTTCTCCAAATTCACATTCCTTTGCCTCCAATTCTTACGTGTCCAATGATAGGTAGCATAATGTATCTTTATTTCTCAGTGCCCAGGACTCTTCTTGGCACAGGGCAAGGGCTAGTAAGCTGAATTCAGTTTAAGAAATCAGCAAGACTATAGAGGATCCAAGAGTTATTAATTCATTCTACAGCTTCATAAATAAGCAGGGCACACAAACATAATGAAATAAAATTGAGGATAATATACCATAGGGTAAAATAAATGTCTTACAGAAAGATATAGGGCAATGTAAGCTGTATAAATCCAACTTTAATTTTTGTATTTTTATGGATTTATTTTTATTTTTATTTTTTTATTGTGAAAATACTGTACAGAGGGGTTACAATTACATGGGCAAGATAATGAGTACATTTCTTTTTTATAATTTTTTTATTGTGAACATACTGTACAGAGGGGTTACAATTACATGGGCAAAATAATGAGTACATTTCTTATCAAGCATTGTAGCCTCCTCCTTTATTTCCCCTTCCCATCCTCCCCCCAATTCTCCCCGCTGATTGTAGAACTCTTAATGACAGTGAGAAAAGTGTAAAAAATTTATTATGGTATTACAATACACCAAGGTTTACATTATCGATAACTGTGATAGTCATTGAGCAAACAATATTGAATAAAAAATCCTGAATATAGAAGAAGATAAAAATGGGAAGCGGTTATGGCTTGGAAAAAAATACAACAATTTTAAGATAGTAAATGTGACATCTGAGGATTTCACCTATGTGAAAAATTTCCTAAATTCTTTGAAGCAAATGAAGTAAATAAAAAGAAGTAATGGTAATATGCATGTCTCACCAGATATGGAACAATGTGTGAAGTGTCCAGATCATCAGTATGCCAACACACAGAGGACACAGTGCCTCTTGAGAGTTGCAAGTTTCCTGGCTTTTGGAGATCCCTTGGGAATGGCTCTGGTTGCCATTGGTCTTTGTTTTTCTATGCTAACTGCCTTTATTCTTGGAATTTTTGTTAAACACAAAGACACTGCCATTGTCAAGGCCAATAATCAGACTCTCAGCTACATATTGCTCATCTCCCTCATCTTCTGTTTCCTCTGTTCTTTGCTCTTTCTTGGCCGACCAAACACAGTCACATGTATCCTGCAGCAGATCACATTTGGGGTTGTGTTCACTGTGGCTGTTTCCACAGTGTTGGCCAAAACAGTGACTGTGGTTCTGGCCTTCAAGGCCACTTCCCCTGGGAGAAGGATGAGGTGGCTGCTGGTATCAGGGGCTCCTAACTTCATCATCCCCATCTGCACCCTCATCCAGGTGACCTTCTGTGGCCTCTGGCTGGGAACCTCTCCTCCCTTTGTGGACACAGATGCACACTCTGAACATGGCCACATCATCATCCTGTGCAACAAAGGCTCCCTCACTGCCTTCTACTGTGTCCTGGGATACCTGGGCTCTCTGGCCCTGGCCAGCTTCACAGTGGCTTTTCTGGCCAGGAACCTGCCTGACACCTTCAATGAGGCCAAGTTCCTGACCTTCAGCATGCTGGTGTTCTGCAGTGTGTGGCTCACCTTTCTACCTGTATACCACAGTACTAAGGGGAATGTCATGGTGGCTGTGGAGGTCTTCTCTATCTTGGCCTCTGGTGCAGGGCTCTTAGGTTGCATTTTTGCCCCAAAGTGTTACAACATCTTGTTAATGCCAAATAGAAATTCTGTGCATGGCTTCAGGCATAAAATACAGTATGACAAATAAGCATTCTTCAGATTTTTCACATAGGCATATTGTTTTTTCGCTTCCCCTCCCCAAATTATAAAAGTGTATATACAAGGTGCAGGACACTGGAATCAAATACAGTGAAAACAGGGGTTATACCATGGGGGGGGGACATACCAAAGAAACAAAAATGTCACATAGCACATTATTAAATCTACTAAAAACAATAGCAAGAAAAAAATTTGTGTTCCTATCTTGGGGTTCATTTTGCCTAACTTCATCTTATATGGTCATACTGATTAATACACAGAAGGTCTGATTTAAATCTACAGTAATGATCTCTTCTTGTCATAGTTTATATTATAGAATTTTTACTTCACAGAGTAAGTATCTAGTGTGCATTTTCCCAGCTGTGGTAGTCACAAATGATGGTAATCACAATTTAAACTGGAGTTTATTGTCTTTATACATATACATATATATATTAAAGATATTGTACAGAGGGATTACAGTTACATGAATAAGAAAGTAAGTACATTTCCTATGGAGCACTGTTACCCCCTCTTTTTTTCCCCTACAATCCCTTCCCTCCCCATCTCCCCCCTTCTTCCCCCCCTTTCCTTCCAAAGTTCATTTTCAACATAGTGTCTTGTACATCTCACTGTTACAGTAGATCAACCTTCATCCTTGTTTCAGCATTTTGTTATTTCCCTTCCTCTTCCCAAATTATAAAAGTGTATATACAAGGCACGGGGCACTGGAATCAAATACAGTGAAAACAGGGGTTATACCATGGGGGAGGAACACACCAAAGAAACAAAAATATCACATAATATATAATAAATACTTTAAAAACAATAGCAAGAAAGAAAAAGAATACATTTGTTTCCTTATCTTGGGGTTCATTTCACTTAACATCATCTTATATGGCCTTATTGATTAGTATACAGAAGGGCAGATCTAAATCTATAGTAATGATCTCTTCTTGTCATAGTTTGTATTATAGAAGTTTTAATTCACAGAGTAAGGATCTAGTGTGCATTTTTCTAACAGTGGTAGTCATAAGTGATGGTGATCACAATTTAAACTGGAGTTTTACTTCTATATATTTGGTTCCTCCTGTTTAATCTGGGCTTAACTATATTATCATCTCTTCCTAAAGTCTTTTCTCTATTGTAGTTATATATATATATATATTTTATATACATGTATTATATATATATATATTAAAGATACTGTACAGAGGGGTTACAGTTACATGAGTAAGGAAATAAGTACATTTCCTGTGGAGCATTGCTACCCCCTCCTTTGTTTTCCCTACCATCCCTTCCCTTCTTACCTCCCAACCTCCTCACTCCTCTCTCCTTACAAAGTTCATTTTCAACATAGTGTATTTTATATCTCACTGTTACAGTGGGTCAATTTGTATCCTTGTTTCAGCATTTTGTTATTTCTCTTCCCCTCCCCAAATTAGAAGAATGCATATACAAGATGCAGGACACTGGAATCAAATATAGTAAAACCAGGGTTGATACCATGCGGGGAAGTACATACAAAAGAAAAAAATCACATAGTACATTAAAAATATCAGTGACAAAGACAAAACCACTTGCATCCCTATCTTGGTCTTCATTTTGCTTAGCATCATCTTATGTTGTTATATGTACATAGCTTTTAACTTTTTCTGCTTCTCTGGTAAGATTATCTATTGTCTTTCTCAATAACTCCTGTAAATTTTTTTTTTAAATTTAATTTAATTTTATTTGTGAACATACTGTACAGAGGAGTTACAGTTACATGGGCAGGATAATGCGTACATTTCTTACCAAGTCCTGTAAATTTTTATGTGTATTAACTTCCTGTCTGCAGACCACCATGTTGCAGAGCCCTCAAATTCATTTCATTAATGTTTTCCTATTCACAAATTTATATCTTTTAATGTTGTCCATAGATTTTGTTTTGTTCAATACTTGTATATTTCTAATCACACATTCACCTTTTGAAATTATCCTGAGTCTCTTTTTTGGGAGCTTTCTTTCTGTCCTAGTATTTCTTTTTCTTTGTCTTTCTCCATCTCCTTCTTTGTCTTCCTCTTCCCTCTCACAATGCTTCCTTCAAATAACTTAGGAATGACTTGTATATGCCACAAAAAATACACTTGGATTTAAGGTTACACGAGAAGTTTTGAATTTTGTGTTAAGATTAAAGTCTGTAATGCATAATAATAATAATAATAATAATTTGATTCATTTATGCATATTCGTACTCAGGGCCTATACTGTCCTTTACATTTTTCACTCAAGGATTCTTTACCACATGAATGATGGCTCCATTGCTAGCTGTTTGGTCTTTTATTGAAAATAAGAGTCTTGGATATTTAACTCATAAAGGTGATTTCAAACCTCTTCTCACATATATTTCTAAAAGTTCCATGACTAAGTAAATTACCATAGCTTTCTATAAATTAAATTTTTAGTTGACAATAAAATAATGTTTGGCAAAATATATTGTGTGCTTATTCTTTTGTTGAGGGCATGATGTTTAACAAATGAAACGTAATTAATTTTCAACTTCCTCAGAATGGTATTCAAAATATTCATCAATTTCTATTGCATTTTGACTATCTTCCTTCTTTATTTAAGGAACTGCTTTATTAGAGTTGACTTTATATTATTGAGTAAAATGCAGAATCCTCATTGTGTGATGAGAAATTGATGGAGAATATGTGATTTCAGTAATTTTACATAGTATTTTGTAGTACTTGCTATTTTTTCTGATTTAGAATTTCAGTAATCTTACACAACACTTTTTCTCTTAAGTGAAGAAATGAAAAAAATTTACACATGAATGGATGATATGTTAAAGTAAGATTGGATGGATAGGAGCCAAGGAGAAAGTAAATGTATGTAAAGGACAAGTTCATGAATAATAGGTAGAGGAACAGAGGTAATGAGAGACCAAGGAAAATGTAGCCATAGGAAACATTTTTATTTTTGTTACAATAAAACTTTATTTATAAGAAGCAGACTGGATTTGGCTTTTGAGTCATGGTTTACCTATCTTCTGTGTATGTGTTTGTGTGTGTGTGTGTGTGTGTGTGTGTTTGAGAGAGAGAGAAATAGAGAGAGTTTGTGTGGTACTGAGAGTCACATGCCATATTTTTTAAATATATGTTTTTTTCTTGAAAAATACTGTACATAGTGGTTACAGTTACATATATTCTATCAAATATTGGAAATTTCATATTAATGAAGGAGAATAATGTAATGGAAGCCACTAGGATGATTTAAATTTTTAGAAGAAATAAAATGTAATAGATACAAGGGCATTTAGACA